CGGACCCCCTAGACTCCCCTCCCCTCCCCAGAGTCAGGCTGCCCCGCCGCCCTCCCTGCGGCTCCTACCCTGCCGCCCCCAGCTCCTGCCCGCGGGTCCCCGCCCCCCCGCCCTCATTAGCATAGCAGCTGCTCGCCGAGCGGGGACCCGCGGAGGAAAGGGCAGAGGCCTCGGGAATGAATGGGGGCCGCGGCTTTGGAGGGGGCGAGAGAAGAAAGACCGACAGACGGACGCGCGGAGGGACGGTCCGACGTAGAGTAGAAGAATGCGCCCGGCGAGGGGAGGGGAGCCCAGGCCACCGAGGCGGAGTGTGCGGCGGGCCGTGGGGAGGGAGGCCTCCCGAGACCCGAAGCCCCAAGTGGGGGGCGTGCTGGAGGCCCCGGGAGGAGTCGTTGGCTGTTCCCAGACCTCCCAGGGGCCCCTATGGCCTGCGCCCTCACACTCTGGCCTCAGGCTTTGTCCCTCAGCTGTCCCAGCCCCAGCCTACTTTCCTGCCCTTGGGGGTCTCGAGGACCCGGTGCCACCAGCATCAGGAGGCACTCCCTCAAGGCCGGGACGCAGGGCTGTGTCCCCGGGCACAGGTGCACCCCAGTCTGTTCCCGCCTGTGCTGAGCTGCAAGGCCTTTGGGGACAGACCCAGAGGGCCGCCCCCTCCCGTCCTCCTCCTAACCTGTCTGTCTGGCCCTTGGCCCTTGGTCCTGGCCTCCAGGTCCTGTCCCCCGGGCCAGTTCTGTTCTGGCCCCTTGCCTCTGCCTTTAGGCATCACTGTCCCTGGCTGACCACTTCTCTGCACTTCCTGGTCTCTCTGGCATTCATTCCAACAGTAAATGCTGCCTGCGTCTGGCCAGGGTCAGGTCAGAGGGACAGACAGTTGGACAGGACACCCTGACGCTCCTGGCTGGGGAGCGGGGTGGGCCCTGCCCTCGTCCATCTGGTCTGTCTCCTTTCTCCATGGCAACCACTGGGTCCCAGTGACCCAGCCCCTGCTTGCCCAACCCTCTACCCTAGGTCTTCTGAGTGCCCCTGGCTGGGATTGTCACCTGGCCCCCACACACCTGCAGGTCCCAGAGGGCCTTGCCTTCCTGCTTGCCCTGGCCACAAAAAGTCTTGAAAAGACATTCCCAGCCCTGATTGCTGCCTGGGAACTCCCAGGTGACACCACCGACTCACTTGCTGCAGTTGGCGTCAACTCCCGTGTGCTGAGCACGGAGGTCCCTGAGCAGGAGCCTGCACTGTATGCTGCCCGCCCCACCATGGTGGGGGACTGACTTTGGCTTTGGCGGCCAACCTAAGGCTTTGCCCACTGAAAGGGAGGCCAGTGTTTCCCGGGCCGCACCCCGAGTTCCACTGCTGGCAAGACCCAGGCTGGAAGGCAGCAGATGCCACCAGCCTCCCACCCACGTGGGGCTGAGCAGGGCCTGGCTTCCTTTTTGTCCACACTGGAGAAAAAACGGTCCCTCCTGTGAGAAGCAAAGCCTTTCTCAGCCCAATATGCTTTCAGAAGAGAGGACCCGGAGCTACTCGGTCTCGCCAGGTGGCAGACAGGTGCCTGGGAAGCATCCCAGGGCCCAGGCTCCACTGGCTGCTGGGAGAACTTTAAGGAGAGTGCCCGTCAGGTGTCAAGCGGTGTCCCCAACCCCCGCCAGCAGGCAGAGAGCAAGCAGAAGCTTCCCCTCCGTGCTGTGGGTAAAGTCCTTGCTGGGAACAGGAGGCATCACTGCCACATCCGTGAAGGTCTCACAGTGCCCAGGCCTGACTTATTCTCTAGGTACCCCAACCTCCAAGTTCTTTACCACTATCCTTGTCGAGACCAGGCACCCCCGGCTGACACCCCCAGCCCACTTGCCCCGCAGGCTTGGGGCAGGTCTTCCCATGATAGCCTTTGAGCACTAGCTGGACACCACCTCCTGGGAGCTCATTTGCATCCAACATTCCACTCACCTCTGCAGGTGTCTCAGGGTGGAGTTGGCCCGTCTAGCAGGCCAGCTGGGGGACAGTAAGTGCCTGCAAAACCAAGAGAAAGCGGGCTCAGAAAAGCTCAAGGGCAGAGCAGAGCAGGAGACACAAAGTGGGAACACAGAAGGCGCAGAGGGCTCCCAGCCCAGGGAGGGCGGTGTGACCGCCACCCTTCCTTACCCGTAGGCTACTTGCAGAGGGGCCACAGAGGTCGGAGCCCCCTGCCCTGTCTCCTTTTGCCACAGGGGTGCCCTCCCACCGCCCCTCCCCCTACACAGCCCCTTAGGCATCTTGGGAGTGGGCCCAGGTCTCTGCTTCTCTCTTGGGAGACACCCACTCCACACCAACAGACCCGGATGCAACCTTCACCCCAGTACAGCTCAGGGTTTGTGGTCTTCCAGGGGTGGCCAGCTCCAGGGCCCGCTGGCCTGCTGAGCTCCTAGACGCCGCCAGGGGCCACAGGGGAGAAAGGGGCCTTTCACTTGTCAGGAGTGAGCATCTATGATGTTCCCAATTTAAGAGAAGCCCTCTGTGCAGCAGGCGGTCGGCATAATCCCACAGCGAGCTGGCCCGAGGACCCGGTTTCGAGCTGGCAGGGGGTCGGGGGTGGTGGAGCTCCGGCTGACCTTCCCATGAGGCCTCAGCTTCTTTGCCAGGGAACAGGAGAAATGGGCTACTCTTGGGTGTCGCTCTTGGCCCTGACACCTCACAAGTCCTGTACGTGGCCGGCTCGGGTTGGCAATGGAGCGCAGCCCGGAGCGTTTACCAGGCTCCGTCTTTAGGTGACAACAAGCCAAGCATTGTGCAGACGTCACCCACAGACAGCATGTCGCAGCCTGACCCTCGTCCTGGATGCCAAGCCCAAGAAGAACCACCAAATCTTTTTTTTTTTAATGTAAAAAGATCGATGAAAAATTTATTTATAAATTTTTCACGCTGCGCTACAAGTATATCGTACACTCAGGAATGTGCTGCAGACTCCATCCAGTTAGAAGTGACCATACTGGGACCCACACACAGCTTCCATGAGCCTAGAAAGTCTTAACATTAATTAACATAATTAAAAAGGTATTTGCATCTAGAAAAAATATACAGAAGAACTCCTTTTGGAGTAATCTGTGCTTAGTTTCAATGTCTGCTTGTTTCACTGACATTATCGATATATTCTTCTTATACAGGGTTTTCTATCAAGCCACAGATGACAGTCGTATCTGACCGGCCACGCACAAAGGGCCTCCACCCACCTGTGTCCTCAAGTGCTCCCCATTTTTGCACGAAGGGTCAGCAGCACTTCTACCCAGGAAGCCTCATTTAAATTTGAATAATTCAGCCTCCTTTTATTTCTCAGGATCAAAACAACAAGGGGTGTGGGGCTGCATAGAGAATTGGAACCGCGGAGACCGGGAAGGGCGCTATTCCGGACAGAAGTGACACGGAAGCACCGCCTCCAGCCCAGGTCCCCCAGCCGGCTCCTGGCGGCCCCTCCCCCATGGCAGAATTTGGGGATTCGAATCGGGTTCTTGAAACTCTGGGAGGCTGAAGAGGGGCAAACGGTCCTTCAACTCACTCAGCAACGAGCACGAGAGATTCACAGTCTTATAGGTATTTTATAAAAATATAAATATGGGTACACTGTTGCCTACACAACGCTGGATACAACGCCCTTTAAAATTGGGTTTATAATCAAGATTCAAAAAATACACCTAAAACTTGGCTTAAAATATGTTAATATTTTATATTCTGTCATAAATGTTATGACATTTAATTGTGGCAAATCCATTTACTTTTTTTAAAAAGTGTGCAACCGACTGTTAACTATAATAGAACTCACTTAGAAAAGGTATGGTCCCTCCCACCCCCCTCAATTACCGCCACACCCGAGCACCCAGGCTCCCGCGGAAACCGCCAAACCAGCAGGTTTAGGGATGGTGGCCTGTCACCGAAGGGGGAGGAGGCCTGCGGCTTCCGAAGCTCACACGGAATTGTGTGTGTGCGTGAGAGAGTGTGAGAGAGGGAAAAGGGAGGGGAGGGCGGAGGTGGGGGAGGGGAGCAAGAGGAAGACAGGACGGGAGAGAGAAAGGAGAGGAAGACAATCAGGAGCAGAGGAAAGAGCGCGGGGAAGCCATCGGGCTGGGCGGTGTTTTCAGTGCAACCAAGAAATGACAGACTCAAGTTTTTAGTTTTAAGACTAAGAAAAAAAAATGCATCTCCCCCCCATAATCACATCGACCACGCACAATATTTCCCAAACAAAACCAAAAAAAAAAAATCAGGCGCACAAACTTCACCCACAAATATAGACACACGATAAATAGTTTAGAATCCCAGCAACGGCAGAGCGTCTCCTCCGCGGCGCGTCGGCCCCGAGCCCGGCGTCCCCGCCACCCTCCTTCCACCTCCGGAGAAAACATTTTGAGCAGAGGATCCGGTGTCTCGAGATTCCGAACTTGCTGGTAGCGAGACTCAAATTTCAAAGGGGCTGGAGCCCGCGCCCCGCCCCCACCGCGAGGCGGCGGGCGGGGGCCGTGGGAAGCGC